TACTCCGTTTCTTTGTTGTATTGAAAACGAAACGAATAAAATTGCAAAGTAAAAATACCATGCATGTCTTCTTCTTGACAGCTGTTTTTACTATTGCCTAAACTGAATTGAAAATGGGGAATTGTCCTTTCAGAGCTATGAGATTAAAGGAAGAAATAGTTATGTAAAAATTAAAAATATGTGTTTAAATCAGAAGTTTTTCATAATTTTGAACATATTTATATGAATCTTCTAAGAGATATAAGCTCGAAAAAACCAAATGTTATTAATAAATAATCTTTATAAATTCTCTATGAACTCATTAAAAACGGGATATTAGAGCTACATATATCATAAGCAATGCTAAGAAATGTGTAAGTATTTCATGTTTATAAATATTTTTCTATATTTGTTTCTAGGAAATTAAAAGGACAAATCTGACATTATATTAATAATCACATTATTCTTGTCGCACTTGGTCCAATATCTATTTACATTTACAAACTGAGTCACAAAACTGCTGTGTCCCAATTATACTCAGTTTCGATTCGCTCTGTTTGGTAGAAATAGTTAAGAGCTCTTGCAACTATTCTAAATCAATAAGCCGCTCTTCTCTGCGGACCTGAGTCTCTCGCTCTCAAGTTCTGCTCGACTGCGACTCTTAATAAGCGTTTCGTAAAAGGTATTTATGAACTGCTGCTTGGCCCCAATTGAAGTGCAAGCTTCCCAGTTGGAGACACATAAAAGTTGTCTACTTAAGATATCGAGATGCAAAGGAATACTGTAGAGACAGCTACACAAATGCTATGCAAAAATGGGCAAGTTAGTTTGAAAAGCAAACACATGCCATAACAGCAACAACAGCGACAATTGCAATAAATATGCAAAAATAAGTTGAATTCGAAATGAAGGCAAACAAACTATATATGTATATATGGAATATAGTATGTAGTATGGTTGTGTGCTAGTGAGACACTCGATGCATGCAAATGGTCTGTTTGGTCATGCCCATCCATGTGTTTTGCTCCTTAGTGTCCTGCAGGCACAAAGCATGTAAACATTTAAGTATATGCTGCAAATCGAGCCAATGCGATGCGATGCGATGCGATGCGATGCGATGCGACACGACTCGACCCAATGCGATACGATCCTTGGCAATGGGCAGCATATGAAAAAGTGCATTTGAAATGCTTTGTGATTTTTGTCATGCAAGTGGAGCGTTGCCTCCCCAGCCCGCACTTCATTTTGCATAAGCAACTGTGGTTCAGACAACAACAGCAGGCAGCTGGGGCTTCCAGGAGCATCGAAGGACGCAGAAGGAGCAAATAAAGTTGTGTTACAAACGCACGCAAATGCCATGAATAACAAGCAGCAGCATCAGCTCAGCTCTCCGAGCTGAAGACAAGCCCAAGTGCTCATCTGCCTTGGACTCGGGCCAGTCCCATAATGAGTCCACTCTCCATGGCCACATATAATGCATCCTGCTGACCATTTTCGACTGCTATGCAAATTAACACGGATATGTTTTGGCCGCATACCAAAAGGCAATAGCCACACATAACCAAAATGATAAAATGGAGCCGAATAACAAGCAAGAATAAGGCTGGCCAGACCACAAATCAAAGAGGATATACTGTGCTGCTAGATACCCAGTAAAAGGAAGCCAACTTAATGGCCAAATGTAGAAAACTCAATAAAGTTCTTTATTGTCGATTTAAGCTTGGGAAGAGGTCTATCTATCTATCCAGAATATCCTCCTTATTACTCTATATATGGTACTCAATCTTCAAAAACTCTTTAATTCATACCTTTGCTGAATGAATATGAAGTTGTTTTCCTTATCTGTCATGTCAATAATATCTTATTCTGATATATTAATGTATGTATACTTTCATTTAGTTTATGGCCAGCATACATGTTTTGTTTTTCTCTGAAATATTATGCATGTTGCATATTCCAAAATTAGGTTTCTTAACGATTCTGAAGGCATTTGTGTGCGAGTAAAATATTAAAAGAGTATGTGTATGTGTGTGTGAGAGAGAGAGAGAGAGAGAGA